CGGCCACTCACGCCGGCACTGCGGGGCAGGGCCGCTCCACGCCACGGTCACCCCGTCGGCCGACGTGCAGAAGATGGACTCGTCCCCGAGCAGGGACAGACCCTCGGCACAGCTGTACTTCACTTCCAAGCCGTAGGGGAACTGCCCCGTTCTCAGGGCAGAGTGCTGCCCGTGGGGGATCTGCGGAGGGGGGTCACAGGCTGCCAGAGAATTCAGAAAGGGTCAAAATTAAGATTTCCTTCATTTGTTCAGGGAGGCAGAAGGGCAGGGAAGAAACAGGAGAAGCCAGTTCTCGATATTCATACCCAGGTAGCTCCCCTCAGTCACCCTTGCTTCTTGCCAGCTTTGGCCCTGGCTCCACCAGTGTTCCCAAACTGACCCAGCCAGGCACAGCACAGCCCCAGTACAGCCCCAGTACTGCAGCACGTTTCCCCATCCCCTTCCTCTGCAGCCCCACCTTCCCTCTTCCGTGAGAAATGATTCTGCTCATAAACAGGGTCAGGGAACTTTTAGTGTCACAAACACCTTGAGCAGCCTTGTGAGAAAACAGCTACAAGCCCCATCACTCCACACGTTTTACTCATGACAGTTTTGACAGAAGGTGAAAACCTTAAAGCTGTTTAATGCAGTGACTTGGATCCCTCCTCCTAACGCCACCAGCCCCAAGAAGAGATGCCCAGAACACACCCTGTTCTCCCTGCTGCTCCCACCCGCTGCAGAGCTGCAGTTCCCAGCTCACCCTTGTCGCAGTAGGGCACAGGAGGTCTCCACGTCCCGTCAGACCCGCACTGGATCCTCTGGCTGCCCCTCAAAATGTAGCCAGGGTCACACTGAAATTCCACCTGGTGTCCAACAGCGTAATCTGTTGTCCTGAGGGTGATCTCTCTCCCGTGTTGGATAGCCGGGCTGGGACACAGCAGCTCTGAGGAGCAGCAGCATCAGGAAGAGCTGCCGTGCTCGGGGTCAGGAGCAGATTCACACCAGGGTGCTTTCCCATGGTGCTGCCTTGCTGACCCAGAGAGCTGCCAGCCCTCTTAGCACTGACAGACACCCCTACCCAGACCCAGCATGCTCAGGGATGGTGATTACACGACAAGGACCATTTCTCCTCAAAGGCAAAGTGGTCTAAGCCCTGTGATCAGCTATAAATGGTGCTGAAGGGCTGATACATTCCCAACTGCATCAATGATTGAACCGCCCAATAACCACCGGCAGCTGCAGCTGTTTCCTTGCAGCCACACTGCCCTTTGAACAGCACAATTATTATTACTGAGAGCCAAAGTTTGAGCCAGAGGGCTCGAAAAAGCCCTCATGGCACAGCAGCACTGGCGAGCATCTGGAAAATGCTGTTATTTCCACATCATGGTTAACTCAATGCTTTGCTGGCAAAGCGAAGGCCACGGAGCACTCACTCTGGCACAGCGGTGGGATCACCGACCACGTGAAATTTTCAAGGCAAGTAGTTATTGGAGACACATCAGGGATCAAAGTGTATCCGGGTCTGCAGAAATAGGTCACAGTTGTCCCCACCAGGAACTCGCCCCGAGCGTTTCGCTCTGCGTGGTCGATGGCAGGAGGGTAGGAACAGTGACCTGGTGGGAGAGCAGGGGACAACACAGACCTCCAGAGCTGGGAGGTCTCCAGAAGAGACGAAGCTCAGCGCTGCCTTTGGAGGAGCCCAGCCTGCTCCCCGGGCAAGGGTGGAAACCCCAGAAAGAAGCTGTGCCTACCTAGGGTGCAGGCAGGAACCCGTGGGTACCACCTGCCTCTGCCCAGGCAGCGCACGGTGGTGGCACCCAGGGGGATGTAGCCAGGGTTGCACTCGAGTGTGGCTGTGCTGCCCTGGGTGAGGTTCTGTGCAGGCTTCAGCCGTCCATGTGGGATATCTGGGATGGGACACTCAACCTCTGTGGATCACCAAACAAACAGGGCTTTTCAGGGGTATTCTTACCCGACAGGGCTACGGTCACCAGCTGCCACTGCACCTCCCTCTCCTAAGAGCAGATTAATTAACAAACACAACAACTGAAGCAGAGAGATCAGGGGTTAACGAGTGTGCTTGAGCAGCCAGCAGCAGGAGGACTCCAAACGTGGTGTTTCCATCACACATCACCAAACACTATTTCTGCCCTTTCCTTGCTCTAGCACGTTGCACTACTACTCCCCTGCACACTCGGGGGTGGGGTGAGTCCAGGCACCCCACCTCCAGCTTCCCACTACAGAAGAGGCTCCATCTCCCAAACATGTGCATCCCTGATGTCACAACAAAAACCCTTTTTGTCCAGCCACCCTGATTCCCATCAGAAATACTTGGGGGCTGGTCACAAACTGCAATTACAGAGAAATGGCTGATCGGCAGAACTGGGCTCTCCTCGTGCCTTACAAGAGGTGCTGGCAGGTCACCAAGACACCGTGTGCCTCTGTGACAACCACCCCCAGCTCACACCCTAGTGCAGCAGCATCCCAGGCACTGTCACGTCCCACACCTGCCAGGACAGCGCTGGCAATGCTGCCTTTGGTACCAGCACCCATGGAAAGAGCATCTCCACACTGCTAGGGGTCCCCCCCCAGGCCTCAGCTCAGGTACTTGGGATTATGTTTGGACTGGCACAACGGAACTCCAAGAACTCCTATGAATTAAAAAAAACAACAACAAACAACAAACAAAACCAAAACCAAAAAAGACCAAGGGTGTAAAAGCGATGCTGGCAGCCAGGGGCAGCAGATCCTCTGCAGGGAGGTGCCAGGGATGCTGTGCAAGCTGGAGAAGTCCCTCGGAAGGTTCCTCTTCTTAAAGGAACCGTCAACTTCCAGGCAGAAATAGTTATTTCCCTTGCTAGAGACATTAAGTCAGCAAAGTCCCGCTTCTGTTCTGAACCAGCCTGCAGGAGGCACAACAATTCACCAGCTACCTTCAGGATGTCTACAGGCTGCCCCAGTGCTAAAGCATCCACCTGGTCCTGATGCCACTCAAATTGCTAACGATGACCCTTTTAAATGGTAAAAACTATGAATGAGAAAAAAAATCTTAAATGTCTAATTGACTCTCCCCATCTTCCCATTATCCACATCTTAGGCCCCAGACCATTAGGACATCCTCCAGCCCTGGAACAGCTTCTCAGTACTGCATGGATGATAGAGGCAGTGATACACTACTCCCTGTGACACAAGTTCTGCACTCCAGACCAGCAGAAGTTCTGCAGACAAGTGCCTTGGGCTGTCCCAGGGACCAGCTTGTAGCCTCCAAGCCAGCCATACTGGGGGGGTGGGATCCACATCTCAATGCAAGATTTTGAAAAGCATTGGGAATTTGGGGTGACTCTTTGCGAGTATCTAGAGGTGCAGATGAAAAGCAGAAACGGGGGATTAGCAGCAGCCACTGAGCTCAGATCACCTTTACAAGAACACCAGGCACAGAGAGAGGTGAGCAGCAACTTCAGCCACTATCCCAGTAACTGCATATTTGATCCATCAGCAAAGTTGAGCCACAGCAGGAAAGAGAATGAGCAGGGGAATGAGACTCACCGAGACTCCCAGCTGCCTGCAGCAGCACCAGCAGCTGCCCTAGCCAGCAGAGACCCCCCAGCATGGTGAGGAGCCCAGGAGACAGTCACTGCCTGCCCAGAGCCCGCCAGGAAGGGAAGTAGCTGTGGGAAGTTGTGGACAGGCCAGATGAATCACCCCCCAGCCCTTCTGACCTGCCCAAGGCAAGGGCTGCGCTCCCTCTGCTCCCCAAGGGAGGG